GTACTGAACAATTCATCTGAACTATTATTATTCTTCAATCGAATGTTAAGACCTTTTTTCATAAATTTTAAAGCTAATTGTGATTGATCATTTTTATAATGTGTCCAACCAATGAAATCATACGTTGTGGCAAGTTCAGGATGTTTCAACGGTAGTTGGGATTTTAATTGACATTCAAGCATCATTTGATAATGATCTAATGCTAATTTATAATCTTCTTTTGTATCATAAAGTGAAGCAATATGACGATATGTTTGTGCAATTTTTGAATCATCTGTTTCTTCAGCATTTTTTCTGAAATCAATTGCCTTTTGATAACACACTAATGCTCGTTCATAATCATCTAAATTTTCATAGGCCTAAATTCTCATAGATTTCTGCTAATAAAACAGTATTCATTGATTTAAAATAAATTTCATTTGTGTTTTGATAATGTGCAATTGATTTTCTAAATTGTTTTTGATTATCGTAACTTACAGCTAAATTATTATAAATTGTAGCTAGTGTTGGATGAGATGAATCAACATATTTCAATGCAATAGGCAGAGCTTTTTTCTTATATTTAATACTTTCACTAGAATTATCATTTGCTGCATAAACTGAAGCTATATTACTATACAGCATTGAAATTTCTAAATAACCATTTGGTGTAAGTGAAATTTCAAGAGCTTTTTGATAATTTTTTGTCGCAGCTACATAACTATTGGCGTTATGATATAGTAGTCCAAGACTTCCATAGGATGCAGCAATATTTTCTACATCACGTGGATGAGCATTTAATTGCACTTCAAAGTGTTTTTTTAAGATATTTCAAAGCTTCATTCGGATCATTTTCTTTTAATAATATTCCAATATTGGCATATGATATAGGCATATCTGGATGATTGAATGATAATGGTCGAAGTTGAATATCAAGTGCATGTTGATGATTTTTTAATGCAAGTTTAAAATTACTCATATCATCGTAGAGTATACCAATATGCTGATATGTTGTAGCCATATCTGAATGATTTACTGTTAAAAATTTCTTTTGAATTTGAAGTGTTTGTTTTAAATATTGTAGCGATTGTGTGTATTCACCTTTAGCTCTATAAATTAATCCCATATTACAATAGGTTTGTGCAATTATTGGAAAAATTTTTGATGTTGAGTTGAGTGCTATTTTAAGCGCTTGTTCACATTTTTCTAATGCTACTTTATAATTACCTTTAGCTAAGTTAGCTCCGGCAATATTACCTAATGTTATGGAAATTCCAGGATGTTCTGGTGGTAAGGAATTTTGTTGAATCTGTAATGCTGGTTCATAATTTTCTAATGCTTGTGTATGATTCCCAGTATCAGTGTAAATTGTTCCTATATTACTACAGATTACAGATAATTGTGAACGGTTTAATAGTAAATCGAGCTTTTACTACCTAATTTCAACCATTTTTTATAGTTTTTGCTTTCGAATAATTTCCAAAACTACTATAAGCCATTCCAATGTTATTAAAAATTGATGATGATTCACTATGATATTGTGACTCTGATTTAGAAGCGATTTCTAATGCTTTTTTGTAATATTCAAGTGCAACATTATAATTGCCGTTTTCTTGATATATAGTCCCAATATTACAATTGGTTATAGCTATTGTTGGATCGTCTAATGATTTTATACCAACCCTAGTAGAATCCGCGCTTCATTGCGCGTTACGAAGCCATAGTAATCTTGCCACAATCTTGCCGCGCAATACCCAATTTGAATCGCGATCGCTATCGCTGACGCACATATTCGTGAATTTGTCGTGTTCGGAGCAAAATTCGCGGTTGTGTCCGGAAACAATTCGCTACAGGATCGCGATTGAGTTCGCGACAAGATGGTGACTAAATTTGCTTGTTTCGCTGCACGATCGCTATTGAAATCGACTGTTTCGCGACAGGATCGTGTTCCAATTGCTTATATCTCGGCTTCACAGCAAACCATTTCAGGATGATGTATCTGTAATTGTGAGCACTGTTAGAACCTTTAAAAGGTTCTTGAAATCTACTAATTTCACCATGTTTTACCCGGTTTTCTCTTCGGGAACATAATGCAATCAAGGTGAATCATTCACCTCAGACTCTCTTCGAGGTTGAGCTTAAAATAAGTACACAGCAGTTTTATTT